ATGTGTTAGTTGTGTATGCCTACCATTTGTAGCAGCTAATGATCGAGAACAAAGTAATATAATATAAACAAAGACTATATGTGAAATGTTTAAATGGACTTTTTATGTTTTGCTTATTTACAAATGAGAGAATATGTACAAGTAAAACAAATGATACAATTTATATGGGAATCAAATTGTATCATTCCCATATATACAAAAGGCTCATAAGTCCTAATGTGATCCTGAGTCCGAGAACATATCTGCATACAAAATTTGATGAGGTTTTGAAATAAAACACTGATTGAAAAGGGAAATCTAGAAGGTTAATAGGTGTTAAAAATGTAATGGATTATATATTAGGAAAAAAGTCGCACCAAATCTAAAGGGTCAAAAGACTCAAGCTTCTTCATTTGTTTCTGTCAGGTCATTGAATTCTCTTTAGTGGCAACTTGCAATCTTATTGACACCTCCAAAAACTTAAGCGACCATGTATAATACAGCCATGCATGGTATAGTTATATCAACATGCATGAGACTGATGCAGTGGCGGAGCCACGTAGTGAGGAGGGGGGTCAACTGATCCCTACTACTTTTATAAAATACTTGTTTCAGTAGATAGGTAAAAATCTTTGGTGGATGATTTGGTCCAAAACCACCAATTTGACCCCCCCTTCTCCAAATTTCGAGTCCTCGTATTGCTCTTTTATTTTGTGATTTCTTTTTTATTTTGTCGATTGTGTTTTATATCTGTCGCTTATTATGATTCCCTATAATTATCTTTTATTCTCTCTACTCTTTTAAATATGTATTTCACCTAAGAGAATCATTTTAGATAGATACAACAATTAATAAATATGGCCACTATACGTTTCGTGATCTACATAAATAAATATTTCGTAGAAAAGTTAAACATTTAGAAAATCACATAAGTTTTAGTCGATTTTTTGATATTCAAATTATAGTAAAAAGCAACCATTATTTATAGGATTATAACAATAATAATATTATTCTTAGTTTTATTTTTATTTAAAATCTAATTTGTTATAATTATATAATTATTTTAATATGACCCCGGTCAAAAATAATTCTGGCTCCGCCAATGCACTGATGTATCAAATTGCATGTTACGTACGCATATATAATAGCTATTTGAACACAAATCCCAGCCCTAGCTAAAACCCCATTGTGATAATATTCAAACTCCAAAGGTTGATAATATTATGTATTTTTGGATTTATATCGAAGAAAAGTTCAAAATAATTAATTTCACAATGATGGGTGGGTGATTATCAGGTCACATGGATTGACTTTGCTAAAGGCTCATTGAATGTGAGGAGTTGACTAATTGGCGGGAGGATATGTATGAATGTATTGAAACAAACACATCGAAAGTCTCACCAGTTCGGATTTTGACTTACTTTCTATTTATTGAATAAATCTAATTTAAAATTTTATTTATTTGTTTATGTTGACATCATGTTCAACCATACAACAACTATTTTGTTCCCTTCGTTGCCCGTTGTTTTCTTACCAAAACCTAATCGTTTTATGGAAAATTATATTGTTTGTAGAGTATAGTTTTTTTTTTTAATTCTTTCAACAAATATTTTAAATGCGAGCATATTAACACAAATAACTAAGTTATTCACATCGTTGCATACCAAAGCAAACAAACAAGTTTTGTATTTCTATGCGCTACACACATTGTTGTATATTAAAATTTGTTTATATAGCAAAAAAAAAGAAAAAAAATGTAAATAATAAATATAAAACGGATGAAAAAGTTAAAAAGAAAACGGTTTCATCCACACGTCAGTAAAAATTATTCAAACCATTAATTTCTATGATTTCATTGTCTAGGTTTTATAGATATCTTTTTTGAGTAAAATATTGTTTGGCAAATTGAATTAATTTCATTTTTAGAAATATAAATTATGTTAAGCTCATCATTTTACATAATTGTTATAGAATGTAGATCTGTTTTGTACTATTATTTTTTGAACAACCACTATATTTTATAAATATGTGTCTGAAATAATATGCAATTATTTATTTGTGTCCAGAGTATTAGAGCATTCCCAATGGAGTATCTTAGAAGAGTTTCTCAC